TCAAATTTAAAGAGAGAGAGGATCTAGAAAAGCAGATTTTTGGATATAAATGCCTTCAGTGTAAACACTTAACTAAACATGTAGGTCTAATTTATCTTGGATTTATTTTTTCAAAACTTTTATAGCGATATTAGAAATATCATATATTAAAATTTGTAAAACAAATAGGCATAATTGTAAAGAAAAGAAACATCTGACAGTAAAGATTATCGTAGTCTAGCATTTGAATCTGACCATTGCTTTCAATTTTTAATTTTTGTTGTACATTTTCAGTATGAAATTGTTGAAAATCAGAAAATACTGGAGGAGAAAATAGCAGAAGTTGAAGAACAGCTCTCTCAGAGACACTTGCTTCTGCTTCCACAGTTTGAACAAAGACAGAAGGTATTTAAACATATAGTATTTAAAAAATAATATGTAAAGATTATACCTATATTTTAACTTTCTTGGTGTCAAACTTGGATTTGAAGAATCTGAATTGAGAACATTTTCTATTTTTACTTTTGTGCTACTGAAAGAACCTATAACTACTATATTTTTAATTTTAAAAAAATGTATCTCAAAATGTGATATATGCAGAAGGTGTCAAGTGGACCATTGTGACTGTTTGTTGGTACACTGTACTACAAACGAATAAACTATACAAGATGTATACTTCTTTGTAAACTTGTTTTAATAACAGTAACTCATTCAAACAAAATGACATCAAACCATAAATGCATTCACTACAACACATGCGGTTCGTCTGTACGTCAATCTGACATCGTACCTATGGGCGGCCTTAGGGGCTTCACAGTCACTACAGGGTTTTACAAACTAAATTTAAAAAATTATAGATATGTAACAAGAGTTAGAACATTTAACTCATACTGTATGTGATTTTGTTTTTCACCATTTAGACATTACATTTTTCATAATAAATATATTGCAAAAAGTGTTGAAAAGTAGAGTTTGGTATTATTTATGGTATGGTTTGTTTATTTTATTCATTACTGTTAGGTGTTGAAAAGTCTTGAATACTTGGATGACGACATGGAGATTCAGCCGAAGGGCATTGTAGCCTGCAGCTTCAGTCACCATGAGATCATATTGACTGAGATTATCTTTGCTGGCATTCTTGATGATTTAGACCCAGAAGAGATTGCTGCAGTGTTGTCCTGCATAGTTTATCGTGGAAAGCAACCTAAACCACTAATGCTCACTCCAACAATTGAAGAGGTGCCTTTTCGTATTCTATGTCTTATTTTATTAAAAAGAAACCAATCCAACATATTGCACAGAATGCAAGTTTTTTGGTTAATTATTTTCTTATTTTGCAAAATGTACTCATGTTATGGCATAAACAGTTCACTAATCAGAAGAGAAGCCTTCTCGCAACTTGCAGGAGACTTGAACCTCTGATAAACAGATTTATTGAATTTCTCAATTTGACTGAAGCGTATGACTTGATGGAATAAGTGATTTGACTAAGTGACTGATTGAAACAACTGACAATTCTACTTTTGTTATTTACTTATGCCAATAGTATGATGTGACAAGAAACTTTGTTTTTTATTATATTTTAAAAAATATATAATTATGTTATAGAAAATACAGGAGGTCAAAGATATTGCAGCATATATAGCTGGTCATGAGAAGGAGTACAATAAAGAGTTTGATTTTGAAGATTACGTTGAGCAATTTAAACCAGGATTTGCAGATGTAGTATATGAATGGGCTAGAGGTGAAGTAAGTATTAATTCACAATTCATAGCGGTGTCCACAACATGCACTCTGTTTGTCAATCATTGATATACATTAATATTTTAATATCTGGAGAAGAACATGACATTTCAATTAAAATGTAAATTAAATCCTTTTAATAGACCTATGTTTTATTATTCACTGGGCAATAAATTAGTAAAAAGCCTAAAATAACTATCTACATATTTTTCTATTACAGAAATTTGAAGTTATCATTGATTTAGCAGGCGGTATTCCAGAAGGGGAAATTGTTAATACAATCCAACAACTGATTAACACTTGTCATGAAATGCACAAAGCCTGTAAGTGTAAGGAAGTTGGCAATTCACGATTTGGAGTAATGGTTGATGTGGCATCAAATCTGTTAAAACGGGACATTTTCGCTGTACCAAGCCTTTACACCCAATTACACAGCTCCTAATGAACATCACATTCACATGGAAGATGACTTTGTGAATGTAACAAAGGTGATACAGAAAAATAATTTACAATAGTAAGTTTGAAGTATTGTAGATTAAATATTTGAATAGGCAGTTTAAAGGAAATAGGTGAAGGGAGGAGAACAATTCATCAGGACCTCAGCAATAGCCCTGGTATACGCACCGGTTGAATACTTCTCTGCAGCATGGACACAAAACACTCACACAAGTAGGCTGGATGTGCCACTTAATGATGCAATGAGACTCGTCACTGGATGTATACGCCCTACTCCACTGAGCCACCTGCCCTTTCTCTTTGGGATTCAATCACCTCATGACATCCTCTCCAACAAGGAAGCTCCATCCAGGTTGCGCTCACGGAGGCCCCTGCGCCCACATATGGAACGACAAACAGCATTGGCAAGTGCAGTACCAACTGTTCCTGAGCGATTGCAGCCATACATCGAATCCTGGTCAGCCCACCCACCTGGCAACCATCTTCGTAGGAAGGCTTGGATGTAACTAAACAGGCTACAATCAGGCGCTGGACGTTTTGCATCCAATATAAAAATGTGGGGCATTGCAGAAAGTGATCTTTGTCCTTCTGGGCACATACAGACTCATGAACATGTTCTTAGCGAGTGTGCTGTGATTGGACCTCCTTGCCCACTATCTGAGGTTGACAACCCTCAACTGGTGGAATACCTCACCAACTTCCAATTTTGAACTGATTTGTTGTACATGATGTAGTTTAACATACGAGATAATAATAATGAATTGATTGTTGCTTAAAATGCTCTATCTGTTAAAATTTAAATTATTTAAATTATAAAATAACAAAAATAAATGAATGACATATTAAGCCATTACTTAATATTAACTATTAATTTTGGCTTCCAGATATACATATAGATTATTATCAGGAGAGCTGCTATTAGGGTGTGTGCATTTCACTCTTGAGTGGAAATATAAGGTTTCGAGTCTAATATTGAAATATACTGTAACTTTTCAAGAGATTGGAGACCATAAGGGATGTAACGAAATATGCATGGTATTGACCTCAGATAATATGTCAAGTTTTCTGGGACCCTAACAGTACCTTAGTATTTGTTTAAAGAAGAGAAAATATCTTTGAGCTTTGTCAGACATTCAAGTGGTGGCACCAAGTACCAAGTTTGATGAGTGTCCATTAATTCATTATACACTAAGGTTTAAGAATGATATCCTTGTTCTCCTATAGTATATTATTTTATTCATGGGGCTAACAAAAGAGATTCTTATTTAGTTTAATATGTAAGGTGAGACCTTATTTATACCTTGTTTCACAAACTTATTTTTTGAAGTTTGTTAGAGGAGGGCTTAAGCATAATAAAAATAAATATAACATTTCATTTTTTAAATAAAATTTCTATTCTATTTTATTATTGATTGCATAACTGGCAAAAAATAAAATTTTGCTTTTATTTATACAAAATCACCATTTTTGGTGATCGGGATGTTCGCTAAACAAGATAATAAATTTCTTGTCTAAATTTACTATGTAAGCACACTACAACTTAAGTCTTGTGCATTTTGATAAACACTTTTACAACTGTATGTTTTCAACATTAAAATGCACATATTTCATGTAAGTATTTTATGATGAACAGTTAATTAATCATTAATCTTAATATATTTTGTGTAATAATGCAATAATGTAAAAACATTGAAATTATATTTTTTTA